TCCCTTTCTTTTCAAGACCTGCATGAAAACCTACTTTTTCAACCAAACCTACGTTTACTTCCCCTGGCTATGCTTTCCTTTCCTAAGCATCCCAAGCAGTCTTTGTAAAGCGCTCTGAGACGTTATCCTGTATGAAGGGGGCTATATAAGTGCAAGTTGTTGTTTTTCTAGGCAAATACTGCAGCTTTTTTTTCTGTACAGCAAGGTCCCAAAAATAGTCAAGTGGTAAATGATCAATTTATCCAGAGGATAGTTGGCTGACGCAAAAAGAAACTCCCTTCTCCTTTCAAATAGCGTCATGGGATCTTTAATGTCCACCCCCCACACTACACTGGAGTATTTGCTTCGACTGAATGTATGAAAATAGTTCTGATGATCTTTTAGGAGGTAAAATTCCTCTTACCATTCTGTGTAATGACTTTGACAGCGTACTATTATCATGGCTTTTTCCCATCAATTCATCAATGTCTCCACACACAGTAGCTAGAATTCTCATCTTCAAAGCCTGTATGTCAGCATTCATTTTGTTGTGTAAAGCCCCACCTTGTGGCAAACGGCTAACACTGTAAACCCATTCCATGCTTTCTTCCTTACAAGATCATGCAGATATAACATTTTCACCATCAGCATACTTGACCTTTGCTGACACAGAGTATTATAGAATTTTACCCTTCTCGATCTCAGGATAATATTGATAACGATATTTGGTTTTGGTCAGCTGAGTGTCTGACACACACAGAAACGCATCAAACTCTACTAAGAGTTCCACACATATTTGTTTGTCTGGAATGAAATACACACAATTTCCCCAGAGGAATGCACCTTGCTTCCCAGAAAGTATTAACTGCAGGTTGGCAAAATCCAGGACTTGGGGGCTCCAGAATTTGCATTAGAGTATATCTGAAATTTAACCAGCTAAGATCATATAGCTTGCCACTGAGAGCAATGTCTGGCAAGCTATCCTACTGCTTGTCCAACTAGGATTGCTCTACCCATTAGGATTTTGATTTGCAGGATAAACAGGAGCTGAGTGGGAAGAATCCCTGTACCCAGCAACTAGTCTGCTACACCAAGTTCTCCCGACAAACCTGTCTGGTCTGCAATAATAGTAAAAATAAATATTGTTCATGTAACTCTTTTCTATTTAATATTTTAATTACGACACAAGTGAAGCACTTGTGAACCATCAAGTAAACTCTTCGTGGGGGATTTTTTAGGGCCTTATTTCTGAATGTTTAGACGCCCAAAAACCAGCCTGTGCACCCAATGATGGCAACATTTATCCTATAAACAATGAGTAGCAACACTCCCACCACAGAAGCCTGTCAATGTGTATTCTCTAACACATTGTCAATTCAATTCATTCTTCGGGTCCTTGCAGTTTGAGTTAGTCATGTACAAATGTCTAGGACAGTGTATCTACAACTAGATCATATCTATTTTCCTTTTGAAATGTTTTTGCAAAGTTTTGAATCCCTCACTCCGAAACACTTCCAGATCTCCCAAGATGTTACTCTGAGTTAAATCTCCTGTTGCTTCTTCATATAAGGAGATTGACACAATAGAGTCAAAGTTGGCTTGGCTACATGCTGTACATGCCCAGATGTTTTACAATAATATATAATAATAATCCTTGCATTTTGATGTAGCGCCTTATCACAGCATTGAGGTGACTCAAAGCACTTCACAGAATATACTGTAAAGTGTATTATCTGTGTATTTTGTGGGTGAAACGCGGCAGCTAATTGTGCACAGCAGTGTCACACAAACAATCATGGACTGAGTGACCAAATTATTATTTTTATTTATTTATTTTTGAAGGGATTATTAGCCCTGAAAAAGCAATTCACCAATCGACTAACAACCAGGTTCCTACTTACAGCTAGGTAACCAGGCGTGCGGAGTAAGAAAACCTGCCCAACAATTTGCCCTGCCTGGGAATCAAACCCGGGTCCTCTCGCTTGCAAAGCAAGTGCTCTAACCACCGCAGGACTCCATTGGTCTTGAAATCATCGCAAAGTACCAGTGACATCAAGCTACTCCCGCACATGGATTACTATTAGAATTTTTTCATGATCACTTCTAGTCAAATAATGGTAGAGTGATATGAAATGTCCACTATCTTGACCTTGCCTTCATAAGCAATAAAGTAGAATTTATTTTATGTTGGCACTCCACCTGGTGGTAGGTGAGAATGCTTAAATAAAAACAGAAGTCGCTGGGATCACGCAGTACGTCAGGCAGCATCTATGGAGAGAGGAAAATGAGTTAACGTTTCAGGGCAATAACCTTTCGTCACAAGTGAGAATGCTGTATTTCTCCCAATGTACATAAAGGACTTGGACTGATATCCTCATGGACTTTTTTAATAGGATTGAACCAATACATATTCCAGTCAGCCCAGCTTAGGGCAAATCTTCAAACATATTTCACACGGTAAAAAGCTATCAAACATTTTGATATAAAAGCATAATATCAATATCATTTTTTTAAAGAAATGGTTGCACAAATTTAATCAGTTTTAATTTAACAACTTTTTTAAAAGTAGGCTTCGCTAAATCTTTAAAAGTTCACAGATAGAATAAATACGCAAGAATCGGATTTCAGGAAATTGTAAAAACAAAGGCACAAAACACAAATTCCGGACTGTCCAGTACCACGGGACGTCCTCTCGACATGAAAGGCGATATACAAATGTAATTTTGTATTGTGTTGTATCTTGGTGAAACAATTTTAGAAATGGAAAGAAAAACTGTCAATGCTGGAAATCTGAAATTAACAGAAATGCTGACAAAGTTAAACATCGAAAAAGAGAAAGATAAGTTAATGTTTCAGACACAGCCCTTAAAATAGGCACAAAATAGTTTTGCTTTCTATTTCCACGATTGTTTCATCAAAGTGTGTTTGTGTATTTATTTATAAATTTCGGAAATCTAAAAGCCCTTAGAATGCTAAGGAAAAACATTAAGTTCTCTTTCAAATGTGCGAGTGGGAGGGAGAGTTGAAGTGGCGCAACTGGAAGCTCAGGGTTGTGCTTGCGGACAGAACGGAGATGTTCGGCAAATCGGTCACCCAATCTGTTTGCTCTCTGGTGTATTACCACCAATGTAGTACCAGTAGAACCTCAATTATCCGGTCACTCAAGTGACTGGCAAAAGTGATCGGATTAGTGAAGTGGCCAGATTACTGAAACAGCATTACGTAGGATGAACATAGTGACCTTTAAAATTACATAGGTTGAACATTCAACAGCCATACTTTGCAATCTCACTAAACAACAACAAGGTTCCATTTATAGAGCGTCTTTCACGTCGGGAGGACGTCCCAAGGCGCTGGACAGTTGTGTCAGGACCCGAACAGGGGGAAATGGTCAGGGTGAGGGGAGGGAAGGGAGGGAGCGAGGAGGGGGAAGAGAGTCGAGAGGGGAGCTGAAGGCACGGTCAAAGAGAAAGGTCTTGAGACCGGCCTTGAAGGAGGAAAGGGAGGAGGCGGCGAAGGCACTGGGGGATGGAGTTCCAGAGCCTCGGGGCTGAGAGGCTGAAGGCCCGGCCACCGATGGTAGGGCGGTTGGGGCGGGGGATGTGGAGCAGACCGGAGCCAGAGGAACGGAGGGTACGGGCAGGTAGGTAGGGGGATAGTAGGTCAGAGAGGTAGGAGGGAGCGAGGCCGTGAATGGCCTTGTAGGTGAGGGTGAGGATCTTGAATTCGATCCTCTGGGGGATGTTCACAACATTTCCAACCACTGCCAGGCAAAAGAGCACTGGAAATTATCCACTGTGGCAAATCCCTAGCCTTTAATTAAAACTATTATTCGGAGAGGGATGGAGTAATGAAATAGAAATACAATACTGGCCTCAAAACAAATCAATGGAAGACAATCTTATTGAAGCTAATTTGCCTTTAGGCTGTTTGATCCTCAATAAAAAACAGGAGCTGTCAATTATTCTCTAACTGGGCTAGAGAATCAACAGCTCTCAGACAGAATTCAGCAAAGAAAGAAAAACTGAATTCCCATTAGAGCAATGGAAGGTCTTAAATGCGCCTATGGATATCATTAGCTGAAAGCTTTTCAGCATCACCTGAGGGGTGGAGAGCTGTGGTACAAGGCATTACTTTTCTCAACAGAACATTTATTTTTAGATTTTTAAGGGGGCACATGAGTAGAGTTTGAATTGAAAGTCATATTATTTTCCTTTACTTTTCACGTCAGGTCACGGATTAAAATATTCTTGTTTCCCATATAGTATCCTCCAATCATTCAAGAAAAAATTTCAGACGAAAGGTTATACCCATCTCAAACTGATGGAGTAATGTCTATTTAAAGGACAACTGTTGGATTTTCTTTTAAAACCCAAAATGCTCTTCTCAGGTACACAGATAATCATTACATTTTGATATATACATTGATATACATCCAGAGGCCATCTTATGATAATAATAATCCTTAATTTTATATAGCACCTTTTGGATCAAGTGGACTCTCAAGTGCTTCATAGGATATAATGTAAAGGTTTAGGCCAATTTGCCCACAGCAATGTTCCACAAACAGCTAGGAAGAGAATAATATTTTTTTTGTTGATCAAGTAGCCCTTAACCTTGGTTTGATATCTCAACGGACGGACAGCCTGTCCATCAATGCTGTGAAGCCCCAGCACTATATTTGAGTGTCAACCTATATTGAGTTATAAACTCCCATTGGGGGCTTGAACCCACATCCCATCGACTCAGGTGTGAGAGTGCTACTCCCAGCTGACACACACACACACACATTAGTAAAATACTAATTTTTCAGGCAAGTAGAACATTGGCGGTTGAAACCCTGCGATTTCAGATAAAAAGCTCAAGCAATCGTGATAAAATAAATTAATAAACCTAAACTATACATACAATAGCCTAAGATGCAATTCTTCACCTTTTTACATAAAAGCTTTGCCCATTTGATGGGAATATTAAGGGCTTTTTCAACCTTATCAGGAAGAGAAAAGTTAAAACATGTTAAATTAGCTTTTTTATAGTCAACTTTATTGCAATGGTAGGAACCGAAACATCAAACAGTACAAACAGATTTCTATTCGAGTTCTTTGTAAAACAATGTTAAATGCTCAAATATTCCCATTTTAAGTCAGTCATCGGCCACAGCCAAACATTTTATTCCATTCCTCATATAGTTCCAAGTCTTTTTGAGAAACACTTGGCCTCACATTTGCAAAAGCATTTTCAAAGTCTATATATTTAATAGGTCGTACTTGATCAGGTGTGATAGTGGAGATATCCGCTATCTGAATACTACGAATGGGTCCTAAAGCAGCCTCGCAACACAGCTGCGTCATGTCAGCACCTGAAAATCCTTCTGAATGTTGAATAATCAGTTCCAGTTCCTCTGGACTCAGAGGACAGTTTTCACGGGACATTAACTTCACCACTATTTGCTGCCTTGCTGATCCTTCAGGCAAAGGTATGTATAGTCTTTTGACCAAGCGTCTGCGAGCTGCCTCATCTATTTCCTGGGGCCGATTTGTGGCTCCGACCACAAGTATCCGGTCATCTGCTGAAGTGCTGGCACCATCCAATTGGACCAAAAATTCAGTTTTAATTCTACGTGAAGAATCATGTTCCCCATCAACTCGCTGAGAAAGAAGAGAGTCAATCTCATCAATGAAGATGACCGCAGGCTGGTGACAGCGTGCTACAGCAAACATTGCACGGACCATTTTTTCCCCTTCTCCAACCCACTTCGAAGTTAACGATGAAGCACTAATACTGAAAAAGGTAGCCCCTGACTGACACGCAATGCATTTACCAATCAGAGTTTTACCAGTACCAGGAGGGCCAAACAACAGAATTCCTTTGGGAGGACCACGGAGTCCGGTAAATATATCCGGTCGAAGCATAGGCCAAACCACTATCTCCTTAATAGTTGATTTGGCAAACTCCAACCCAGCAATATCATCCCAGTTCACAGGGGGTCCGTGGTCCATAATTTCACTCATAATAAGTTGAATCATTTTGGGCTCAAGATTCTTCAAGCGTTCATCTACTGGGAGGGAGGTTTCATCAGAATTGTTCCCATAAAGCCCTGCAGACATTTGGCAATTTTCATCCCCACTGTCCTGTTTTGATGCCGGGGAAACAAATTTGCCAAATAACCCCCGGGATCTTGCTGTGCCAAGTGACTTCTTTGTGCAATTATTCAATGCCATTGGACGTTGATTCTGGTTGCCAAACTTTTTCTGCTGATCGATGTACAATTGCACCTTAGCAGTTTTAAAAGCAATTACACTGCCTTCATCAACAGCATGACCATCATATTTTCCATTTCTGGATCCACCATCAAAATTCTTTTGGTAAGAATTAGCTATGTTTCGATTCTGAAAATGACCATAACTTGTGCTATTACATGACTCAGTACCTCCATCTCCAGAGCCATAGAACATTTTCCTCTTTGAGGAACTGAGAGGTGCAAGAAGAGATAAATGGTTGCCAAAAGGCACATTTTGTCCAGAAACAGTTCCCGTTTGACCTGCATGAGCTGGAGCGTTAGCTGACATTGATGGACAATTTGCAGACACTTCATTAGAACCAAACTGATCACAATGAATATTTTTGGAGCTTGTCAATGAGAATGTACTTGAAGAGTCTAAAGTGTTGGTTTCATCTGCTCCAGGCTTAGTATCTAGTCGTTGGTGCACATTCTGCAGACAGTTTAAAGATGAAATAGTAAAGGTTTGGCATTTTCTATTGTCTGTAGCATATTTTTCACTAACATTTCTTAAAGCAACATCAGATAGCGAGGCAATTAAATGCGTATCTTTTGGAACGGAGTTTCCAGTATTACTGGAAGGTGTTGTTTTATGACAACCCGATATTTCTATTTGATTAGCTTTACCTATTACCATGGAAACATCTTTTGCTGAAACTAGTGAGGCTGAGGCTTCACTGCTAGATTTAACCATGTCCTGCACACTTTTTAATTTGCTAATGCTACTGGCGGACAGTGAAGACTGCCACTGCTCACTCTCATTCTTCTGACATCTTGATAAGCTGAGAACACTGTCAGCATAATTGTTCAACCCAGTCTCCGCATTGTCAGAGTCAACAATGGCTGAATATTTTTCAGTGCATCTTCTAAATAAGCTGGCAGTGCAGTCCTGAGATATATCTGACTTTGCCAATGAGTACTGCAACTGCAAAATATGTCCCCGGTAAGCATCTGCTCTGTGTCGAGGTGTGCAGGTATTGGAGATGGTATTGAAGTAATGCTTCTGCCACTGGTTCAGGTTTAGCGTGTCAAAGGACTCCATTTTTATCAAACCTATGCAGAACAAAGTTTAAATAAATACAGGATAGAATTCCACTAAAAAAATATAAGTAGTTCCCAATATTTTTACTTCAATTTTACTGTTTTTGCTTGTTCAGCCGAGTGGCTGACACATGCGGAAACCCTTCATTTGCATCATCAAGATTTGGGGGCCAAGAGTGTGTGTTGGAGCCTAACCAGCTGAAACCACATTGATATTACTGTCTGGCAAACTTTCCCACTGCTTGTCCAGCGAGGACCACCCTAACCCATCAACAATGATGGGGAGAGCATCAGACACAAACCCACCCCCAGCCCCAGTCCCTGACACACACACTGGTCACTGACACACACACTGGTCACAGATACACACTCCGGTCACTGACACACACACTGGTCACTGACACACACTCCGGTCACTGACACACACACTGGTCACTGACACACACACTGGTCACTGACACACACTCCGGTCACTGACACACACACTGGTCACTGACACACACACTGGTCACTGACACACACACTGGTCACAGATACACACTCCGGTCATTGACACACACTCCGGTCACTGACACACACTCCGGTCATTGACACACACTCCGGTCACTGACACACACACACACTGGTTACAGACTCAGACACACAGATCATTGACATACACACACTGCTCGTTGTATAACCGAGACATCACACATCTCTCCCCACTCCCACTCACACATTTTGACCTAATTCCTCAAACAACCCTCTGCTTCATTTCCATCAGCCAATTTCAAATCCATGTCCATGTTTTATCATTGATACTTAGCACCAACAGTTTATAAAGGAGCATTTCATGATGTTCTTTGTTACACACACACACACACACACACACTGACTGACACACACACACTGACTGACACACACACACAGACCCACACACACAGACCCACAGACACACAGACCCACACACACACACACACACTGACTGACACACACACACTGGCAGACACACAGACAGACACACAGACCCACACACACACAGACAAACACACAGACCCACACACACAGACACACACCCACACACACAGACCCACACACACAGACCCACACACACACAGACAGACAGACACACACACACAGACACACACACACACACAGACACACACACAGACACACACACACAGACAGACACACACACACACACAGACACACACACATACAGACACACAGACATACACACACACTGACTGACACACAACACAGACACACACACGGACACACACACACACAGACAAACACACAGACCCACACACACAGACACACACCCACACACACACACAGACACACACACACAGACAGACACACACACACGGACACACACACACGGACACACACACACAGACACACACACAGACACACACAGACACTGACTGACACACACACACACACACAGACGGACACACACACACACACACACACACACAGACACACACACACAGAGACACACACACAGAGACACACACTGACTGACACACACACTGACTGACACACACACAGACAGACACACACAGACACTGACTGACACAGACACACACACACACAGACACACACACAGAGACACACACACACACACAGACCCCCCCCACACACCCCCACACAGACAGTGGTGAGTTACCGGGCGGGGCCTCTCGGGTTCGGGATGTTCCCGCGCAGTCCCTCAGGCCGCTCTGCGCACGCGCATTTCCCGCCTGTGGCACAGCCGCGTGGTGGCTGCTGGGAAGGCCCCCCCACACCATGGGACCTAACCTGTCAATCACCCGCCGACCGGGCCCCGCCTCCGATGACGTCAGTCTTCGCCCCCCCCCCGTGTGGCCGGGTTGGGCGGCTTCACGCCCAATTGGGCGGGTTTTGTGGCATTGCGTGAACTAACAGCTCGGAAACAGACACTCCACATGAGTCTTCACCCGTCATAATCCCCTCTGACCTCTCCTCTTGGCCTCTACTCCCTTCTCCCTAATTTATGAATTGAGTGCTTTAATAATAATAATAATAAATACTTGCGTGGTTTCTGCTTCATTAATGGCTCCAAATAGACCTAAAATTGGTAATTGACTGGATGTTTGGATGTGTGCGGGACATTGTGGGGGAAAACTATCTGCTGTGTTTGCCCACAAACCACAGTCACTACACTTAACAATAACAAATGTAAATGTTCTGCTCCTCTGTAAGGCCTGCTCATCTCTCAAATCTAAAGAGCCCGAGCCGGTCTGATTGTGCTCATAGCTCATCCCTCTAACATTCAGGATCATCCTTGTGGCTCTCCTCTGTATTGCCTCTTGACCATCCTCCGTGAGGGGGGGGAAGGGGAAGGGAGAGGTAAACAGGGTCTCCCTTGGAGATGAAATGGCTGAGTATTCCAAGACACTGCAGCACAGTCATGTTGGCTCATCAGGAAGGGCAGACCTGTCCAATCTGGACAAGTTTTTAGCTGGTTGGAGTCCAGCAGTATCCCTACATACTCTCTGGGGTCCCCAAGCCTTGTCTCTTCCTAACCTGTGCCTCATAATTTCCAAAATTAGGTAATTAGGATGCGTTCCCCAGGGAGAAAGTGCACATTTAAATCCAATAAAAATCTTGTGAGTTACCATTATAGGTGGGAACTCTCTCAGTTTGGTTTGAATACTCTTAAGGATGGTGATAGATTTCCACATGTGCCGCAGACACCTGGTGGACCAAAAACAAATGACTGCCACTGGGACAGTAATCTTATGTTGCAGTGACCAGAACTGTTGCAGCACTCGAGGTGCACCCTGACCTGAACACTATATAGCTTCAGTATGGCTTCTGGGTATCTTAACTCAACTGGTTAGCAATATAGCCCAGCATCCAGTTTGTTTTAAAGATTTTTTAAAGAAACTGCAAGAGGTGAATAGCGAAGGCAGAGATTTGCTGAGGTGAAGCCATGGTGGTATTTTAAACTCAGGACCAGCATCTTCAATTCAATCTGCTGGGATATGGGAAGCCAGTTGAACTGGAATGATTAGCACATGGAGCCTGATGTGGGACAGCACACAGGCTTCAAAGTTCTGGATGATCTGTATCTTACGAAGAGAAGAGCTAGGGAGGCAAGTGAGCAGGGTGTTGCAATAGTGGAGCCTGAACTTAATGAAAGCATAGATTAGGATATACCATCCTCCCATCACAGCTACAAACAAATCCAGTATCCTGGTATCAACCACGCTTCCTGGTTCCAGTCCTCAATTACTCTCTGGGCAAAGAAATACTTCCTGATGTTTCCCCTACAATTTCCCTCTGTAACTCTAAACCTGTGCTCTCTTTAATATGCTGCCTTTCCATATTGTTCTGGGTTTACATTCTCAATCCCATTTAAAATCTTATATAACTCTATAAGACTTTCTCTGTGGTATGTTTTTAAAGCTGAATAGCCTCAGCTTGTCTAATTGTTGCTCATATCCTTTACCACTGATGGTCATCCTTAATGCTTTCCTCCATACCTCCTCTGGGGCATGAAAGGAACGTCCTTAGGTCACAGTGACCAAAACTGTACCTAGGACTCCAGGTGTGGCCTGACGAGAGCACTGTTTAGTTTGAGCATGAATTCTGGGGATATGAAGAGCTGATCCGGCAATATAGCCAGCTTGCCTTGTTTATTGCTGATTCACACTGTTTTGACAAGGTAAGTGATGAGTTAACTAACATCTCTTAGTCTCTTTCAGCTTCCCCCTTGGCAAGTTCTATCACATCCATGGAGTACATATATCTCCTGTTTTAATTATGTTGCACTTATCTATCTGAACTTGATTTGTCAGTGATCAGCTCATGTCACACTTTAATAAACTCTCTTGATAAGATCTTTGCTGCTTCTTTTGATTCCATAGTCACCCCCCACCCCTCCCAATTTTCTGTTATCTGTAAACGTAACTGCTCAGACTGAGTCCTTGAATCCAGGTCATTAATCTATACAAGGAGCAGGAGGGATCTCACTATCCCTCCTGTTTCTTGTATACCCGAGGCATCCCATAACATCTCCCCTCATCCCTCCACTGAGGCCGAATTCCTCAAACAACCCTCTGCTTCGTTTCCATCAGCCAATTTCAAATCCATGTCCGTGTTTTATCATTGATACACACACACACCGGTCACTGACACACACACACTGGTCACTCACACTGCTCGTTGTATAACCGAGGCATCCCACAACATCTCTCCCCACCCCCACTCCTGCATTTTGACTTAATTCCTCAAACAACCCTCTGCTTCATTTCCATCAGCCAATTTCAAATCCATGTCCATGTTTTATCATTGATGCTTAGCACCAACAGTTTATGAAGGAGCATTTCATGATGTTCTTTGTCAAACCCCTTTTGCAGTTAGATATACAACATCATATGGTTTCCCACAGCCATCCTGTTACATTGCCTCCTCAAAAAAAAGTATATGAGGTTGGTCAGGTAAGATCTACCCCTTCTGAAACCATGCTGTCTGTCATTTAATACTTTATTTTTGTACTTGTTTTTTGAGACACATGCAAAAACCCATCACCATGCTTAAAAGTATGCAAACCAAACTGATTCCCTACCTACACATGTAAATTCCCGAGATAGAATGTTGGAATGCTCGCACACTCTCCCCCTGGAGGGATGCATCCTGCTTACCTACTTCTGGAAAGTTTTATAGGCAGGTTGGCAAGAGCCAAAGCTTGGGGACCCCAGAGTGTGATTTGGGATACAGCTGGAGACTAACCAGCTAAAACCACTTAGCTTGCCATTGATAGCACCATCTGGCAAGCTTTCCTTGGGCCTGTTAGTGCTTTGCCTTACAGGGTTAACAGGAGCTGAAGGGGAGGATTTCCTGCTACCAGTGACCAGTCTGTCCTAATTACAGCAGTGCCCTGGAATACAGTGGACCAGCCTGACTTAACAATTGGACTATTGAGTTCGCCACAGAGGGCCGGCTCGATTCCAATATTCTGTTGCCCAACATGTCACCTTGGAGCCAGTTCAGCTCCAAGGAGCCCTTGCTTATCCTCCAACCCCCAAACTCCACCCCCAGAAGGATAGTCACCAGTTAGTCGTTCAACATCCGACAAATGCAGGTTTAAGGCCTCATTAGGTAAGTACTAAGAACTTCCTATGAGCCTCCCAGTGGGCAATGCAGCTCAGTATGAAATGCGTGAGAGCATTTCCACCAACTTCCTGTCCACAACTCAGGCACATGTCCCGTCCCATTGAGCAATGGTTCCACCAGTTGGAGTACAGAGTTTAATCCTCTGTGCGGGACAAACAAGGTGGATTCCAGGCGCTAGATGTAAAGACGTATGTTCACTCGGATTCCAGGTAACACCTTACAGCAGCTGTCACCCCAAGCCAGAGAGTTTCCTCATCAGCTATCTGGAAGATTTCAGTATGGTGGGAGACCTTTATAGGACCTCTTGTGACGTGCTAACCACCTTGATGTTCTGGAAATCCATCGAGAATTACTAGACTAGACTTACTCAGCTCCAGCTGCTTTCTTCGGGCCCTCATGTGAGGCTCCTTGGCAAATAAACAAGCTCACTGACTCAAGCCTCTGGGGTGCTTATCGAGAGGTCAATGCAGACCGGAGCCAACCTTTCCTGCAGCAGCTTCGCGTGTTTGCCACAAATCCACCTCACTGCTTGATCTGGGACTTTGCAAATGCTTCGGATTATTGAGGTCAGGCTAATGGGTCTGTAGTTGCCAGGTTTGGTTCTGTCACCTTTCTTGATATAGGAAGCACATTTACTTGCTTTCAGTCAGGTGTAATTTCACCCATGGTGTGCGACTCATGGAGTCTAAGGGAAATATAACGAACAGCATGATCAAAGAGGTAGATCTTGAAAAGGACCTTGAGCAAGCATGCGGGAGGGACTCCAAGAGGGATTTCCAGTGAGTCGGGGTAGAAAAGCTGAAGCAGAGCTTTCTATGAAAGCTATTAAATCATTTCATAATCATCTATAAACAAACTCTTAGATCGCTCGGCTCATGTACTCCTTCCAGTTCTACTCCCAACCATTATTTTTCCATCTGCAGCAGTGCGACTGGTGGCTTTTGGCTGGTGAGGTTCACTTCCTTGGACAATCTATGAGTTTGCCTAACCGAACCAACATGTTACCATGGCAACAACAAAACCAACAAAATTACCAAGGCACTGGACAGACATAGTTACAGATTCGAGCTGAGGGTCGGGGTGTGGGAGGGCATAAGGGGAAGCAGGGAGATCAAAAGCACGGTTGAAGAGGAGGGTCTTGAGGTAGCTCTTGAAGGTGGCAAGGGAGGGGGGTGTTAGATCCGCGAATTATGTGTCTGTATCTGGAGAGAAAAAATCTGATACAAGTAAACTTAAGAAACAAAGAATGGGTTTTTATTTCTACTTGTATACAGGAGCACACAATTGTTCCCGTATACAAATAGGATCTAATGTCTCCCTGTCAGACAAAAGATCCTCTTCTTCGGTACCATTAAGTTTTATACAAGAGTACACAAAATACACAGAAGGGGTGTTTTTCCTTACAGACCAATCAGGTTTGCTGCATGCGTTCCCACACTTCTTGCTTCAGCTTGTTTCAACTGTACTAATCTTGCAGTTTTGCTAGAAGGCCATTTCTATGTTATCACCCGCCGTTCCTTACACTGTGGCCTTCAGATAACGGGATTCTACAATAACAAGTCTAACCTACTTACTTA